AGATAAATTCAAATTAAATTCTGATGTCTATAACATGAATACTAGACAAAAATATAACTTCCACCTACCCTCATCAACTTTATCAGTATATCAAAAAGGAGTCTACTTTACTGGCATTAAAGTGTTCAACAATCTGCCACAAAGTATTAAAAACTTGGGCAATGATACTAAAAAGTTTAAATCAGAGTTAAAGAATTATCTACATGCTCATTCCTTCTACTCTTTAGATGAATACTTCAATGTAAATAGAGAATGATGTAAAATTAAGTTATATTAATTTTTAAGCTAAAATTGCCTGTACTTATGTATGTAACCTTTTGACTTGTTCTGTATCCAAAGGTACTAACCTGCTTAGGATTTATAGAATGTAAATAAATTCAATTCAATTCAATTTAAGTGAATCTGTGCCATCAGCACAATGTCACTTGCATTCCAAATACTTGAAGTAAAGGCTTTGTTAGTGCTGATCACTGGCCAGCGCAATGGATTCCCATGGCCGTTAATCTCAGTTTTCCATACCAGAGCCGTTTCCCCCCCCCCATTCAAGTAGCTCTTAAATTATCCTCACGAGGCTGAGGGGACCCCATTCCAGACCAACTACTTCTCAGAAAATCTGGTAGCGGCGGGAATCAAACCTGGATCTCTGGATCTGTAGCCAGGAACTCTGACCACTAGACAACAGAGGATACAATGAGTGGCACTAAGTGTGAAATGTGGTGAGACAGACCACTTGAAGCAAAGAATACAAAATGCTGCTGAGTCACTAACATCTGTTTTCACTCATGTGTGATAAGAACTGGAAGACTGATGAGACATACGCAGAGCAACATCTCAGTCTCACAGTGAACTCCATTAACAATACAGATAAGTGTTGGATATGAATTTCTCACATTGGTGCTTATGAAGGGTAGAGTCTACTTGGTCATATGAGTAACTCCATGTAGTTCAGAGGTACATATGTCCTCCAGCTTTAGGGCTGAAGTGTAAGTAAAGCTCTTTGACTCTGAAGATGGAAGCAATATGTTCCTCTGAAATACAGTATAATCTCAGCAATGCAGCCATGCGCTAATCCGACACGTCCAGTAATCCAGCATCAGGCACCAGACACACATCTGCAACCTTGTGCAGGTTTCTACAGGCAGCAGAGGCTGACCTGTGTTCAGTTGAGCTTGACAAACTGATGGATTTAGACCTCACTAATGCACAGTTTCAGTACTGCAATACTATACATTCCTGCACAGTACTTTTCATACAGAGGTGGATTTACTGTGTGCTGAAGATGTCCAGTTCTAACAAACATAAACATAAAACTTTTGTGCTAAAGCAAAAATAATTATGAAACTTGACAAAGGTGAAGAACTTATTAATATGGCTAAAGAGTATGATGTTGGACATGTTATGATATACAATATCAGGAAAAATAGAGAAATCTGTTCTGACTTTTTCCAGTAATCCATCATTTTTGGTAAATCTGGCAGTACCTTTGTCTTATATGTGTTGGATTAACAAGATTGTACTCTACTAGCTCTCTCAAAACTACACAGCATTACAACATAGATGAATATACTCTTAATACAGGTACTTTTTCACAATTTTCCTTTCATTTTATATTTCTTTCATGTTTCAAGCATTTATTGCTACAAAATAGCAAAGTTCAAAAACTGCACATCAGCTTTATAGACTTACCAATGTCAAATTACCTCCCCTCAAGTAGCAAAGAATAATTATGCAGAAAGTTTTAATTTAAAATTAAACTGGCAAATACTTCCATAATTGTATTCACATCAGAACGACATTTGGCTGTTTGTATACATAATATTACAAACCATAATTTTACCTGTTGTTTTGTATGGCTGTGAAACTGGTGTTTTACCTTGAAAGATGAAAATAGATTCAGTGTTTGAGAATTGGTGCCAAAAAGAATATTTGCATCTAAAACAGACAAGGCAACAGGAGGCTGGAGAAAACTGCATAATGTAGAGCTTCACAATTCCTGCTTTTCACTAGATACTATGATTAAATCAAGAAGGACGAAAAACATATAGGAAGTAGCATGTATATTCAAGGTAAGAACTGTACACAGAATTTTAGTTGGAAGATCCAGAAAGAAGATACCACTTGAAAGGCCTATGAATACATTCAAGGATAATATTAAGATGAATCTTAAAGAATCAGGGTGTGAGAATGTGGACTGAATTCATCTGGTGAGGATGTCTGGTAGAATGAAAATGAATGCACTTATCAGACTTCATTTCCATAAAGAACAGGGACTTTGTTGAGTAGCTGTGTGACTATTAGCCTCTCAAGAAGGACTCTGCCCCATGCAATTAGTTGGTATACACTCAGAATGTTAATACAATGGCAGAAAAAACATGCCAACATCTACTAAAATTAGTTCATGCAGCATATAAATTACTATTCAAATAATAATTACTCATTCATTCATTCATCAGTAATCTGTCAAGACGAACAGGTCCACAGTCTCTTCCAAAACAGTTTCTCCACTTGATGAAATCTAGAGCTTTCTCCTTCAAATGAAAATATCCTCTTCTGTCCCCAAGGTCATCCAGCATCTTCTTACGCCTTCTTCCTCGTNAATCAGACTTCATTTCCATAAAGAACAGGGACTTTGTTGGGTAGCTGTGTGACTACTAGCCTCTCATGAAGGACTCTACCCCATGCAATTAGTTGGTATACACTCAGAATGTTACCACAATGGCAGAAAAAACATGCCAACATCTACTAAAATCAGTTCATTCAGCATATAAAATACTATTCAAATAATAATTACTAAAACTGTTAATATTTGACATTTGTTTTTCAGTAGCATTAGTCACAATATCTGACATAACAGGAACAATGAATGTAATACACAAATTGGATACTGACGTACACTGGATAAATA